ATATTAATATTCAAAAGTTACATTAAATTTTAATTTTTTTTAAAATTTTAAATTTAATTTGAAAAATTATATTTATTTATCAATAAATTTAACTCTTTAAATTATTATTGTGTTGTATTGTATTATATTGTAATATATTTTTAGTATTTTAAAAATATATAAAATATTACTTTAAATTTATAAAATTAATAAAAAATTATAAATTTATATTTTTAGGTAAAATTCTATATATATATAAAGAAAATAGAGTAGAAAGATAGAGTTAGTATTTATTATTAATTAAATTTAAAATAAAATTAATCCCTAAGTAAACTTAGGACAATGTTATAGTTATAATATAATATAATAACTTTATAATTATAATGTGATATTAAATGAATATAATGTAATATTAAATGAATAAATGTATATAATATCATAAGTAGATTTCTAAATACCAAGAATTAATTATATAATAATATATTATATTATAAGTTTTGAATATAATGTAATATTAAATGAATAAATGTATATAATATCATAGGTAGATTTCTAAATACCAAGAATTAATTATATAATGATATATTATATTATAAGTTTACAATATCAAATGACATTATAACTAGCATTTTAGTTAAACTCAGGAAAAAATGCATACCCACCTTCCCTCCTAAAAAATTAAAAGAAATATTGCATTAAAATTATATCATTTCAATAAATTTTTTTTAAAAATAATTAAAAGATCTTATTTTTAAAGTATAAATTAGACTATTTTTATTTTTTTTATAATTTTTTATTAAAATAATATAATTTTCTTTCCTACTTTTGGCATAATACATGAATTCATGAATCATAACTTTTATAGTTAAATAATAAGGACAGGTTTATTCTCTAAAGACAAATCCATTCATAAAATATTTAAATAAGACAAATAACATTATTTAACGTGTGCATCACATGATTCTAGCTTGTTACTGTTAAGATAATGCTTGTCTGTTAATTTCATCCACGCTTTCCTTTTGCTTTTTTATGGTTGTTACGTTATTTTCATTGCTAATGGTTTTCGTTTCTGTATTTTAGCTGCTGAGAAACTTCCAATTTTTTTTTTCCTCTTCCTTTTTCATCCTCCCCATCTTTGGTTTGCTAGAACCCAAATATTCTACTGCAACCATATCTTGTTTCCCTTCCTCCATTTCGTGATTTACGAGCTAACTGGTATAGTTAATGGAAGTTCGTTGAATGGTAGCAAGGAACATGAGTCTAACCTGGTCCACTAATTTCATTTTCTACTTTAAATTATATTTAATTCTTAACAACCATTAATGTGACAGTTTGGGCTGCTCTCTTAAAGATGTTCATATTTGAAAATTTTCAGGTTAGAGATTGTAGGTTGGAATTCTACGGTTGCAATTTCAATTTTGTTAAAATAGTTGAAGTTTAGGAATGGTTTTTTTTTTTTTTCTTCGGTACTTATAGTTAAGTTACCCCCTATATAAATCAGTTTTCATATATCCTAAAACTTTTTTTTTTTCAAACAATTTTAAGAACGAATTCTCAGTACCGATAGGTTTGGTGCATTAAAAAATTAAATTTTTTAAGCAATAATCTCAAATTTAAAACTTTAAATGTAATCTATAAAATGATATTTTTTTTATCAATAAAACTAATTATTGAAATTAGAAGTTTAGAAATTAATTGTATGACTAAATTATAAGTAGTTATCTTCCTTTCTTTTT